CGGCCCGCCGCGCCGTGGGGCCGCGGTCGTTCCGCCCGCACCGGGATCTGGAATGCTGGGAGGCGAGAACGGTTTGGTAGATGGAGCGAAGAAAACGCACCCTAAGCACACTTTGGGTTAAAAATGGAGAACTCCTTTGTGGAAGAAGTGGCTGCATCACTCGTGAGAGAATTTCTCAGTAGAAAGGTAACTTGTCTCGATTTTCTCCAGCAAGTACAAATGAGAATGGCACATGAAAAAATGTAAAATACTAATAATAGATTGAGGAATGCTGGGGGGGAAGGAGGGAAGGGGGATAGAACGACACAGGACTTCTTCAGCCTTAAAGCGGCCAAACATGAAGGGTAACAAGCCGGGAAGTATCAGTACTACATTTCCCACAAAGCCTTTCTATTGCTGAACATGGAGGCCAGCATCCGCCTTGCTTGGGAAAGCCCGAGCCTTCCCTACAACATGCCTGCAAAACCCGGGATTAAATCAAGAAATGCATTTTCAGGTGGTTGGTTTTTTTTTTTTTTTTCTCTCCTCAGTAATTACCCATCTTGCTGTTGTCCTTGTGTTTTCAAAAGGCACAGAAAAATTCCCAGGAGAAATATTTTTTTTAAAAAAAGGCAAATGGTTCTAGAGAAACTGGTAACGTTTCGGGGTTGGGTTTTGGTGGCTTTTTTTCCCCCCGCATTTTCTTTTTTAGCCCTTTTTTTTTTTGTATGTGCTTTCCTTTTAATTTCGGTTTTGATTTTACACTTTGTTGTTGCTGTTGGTTTTGTTGTGTGGGGGTTTTTTTCCCCCTCTCCTTCCCTCCCCCCTCTTCTCAGCACTAGCCTTTCAGACAGCAGATTATTTCTCGGGAAGGAAGGAAGGAAGGAGGACAGGGAGAAAAGTTAAAAAGAGGCCACTATACTTTTCCCAAACTTAATGCTGTAAAAGGAGTGTGGGACTGAGCAGAAGAAAAAGCAGTATCACATTTCCAAGTGAAAGCACCAACCACTGTGTACTTATGTTCAATCCTAAGGAAAAGCTGCTGATGTCCAGTCCTGTCAGTTCTCCCATGTCAGGAATGAGTTAGCTTGTACCAGAAATTAAACAGCCACTGTCTTACTAAGTGCTGCACAAGCCTCAATTTTCTTCACCTGTTTTGCATCCAGTCTCCAAATGCGCATTTTCAATGTTTGTGAGCAAAGCTGAAGCATTTGCCAACAGAATTTCAGATGCAGAATTCATTATTTGCCATTTACTGCCAGAAGAATGAGAGGCTCCAATCTGTCAGTTCACAGATTGCAAAGATTTTTTCAGATGAAAGACATACACATTTCTGAGTTAGATACATGTCAAGGTGAAGCTGAATAAAAGCATAAAATGAAGGGGAGTGCACTGCAGGTACACAGGCCATAGAACTTACAATACTAACACACACTTGAACTGCCACATCTATTTTATACAATAGACTCTGGAGTCAAAACAATAGTCCTTCGTGCTTCTGCACAAGCATTCCCCTGCTTCCCCCTAATCTTCAATATACATTGGAGCAAACTGTGATAAGGATCCTTTATTTACCACAATTTATCCATCATTCCCTAAATCTAAGCCATCAGATCCATGTGCAGAAAAATATATCCTTTCTTGTAACAATAACCCTTCATAGAAGGAATTGAGACTTTATTTCAAAATGGTGGTCTGGTATTGTACCCCTTATATTGGTTTAATGCACAATAAATCAGGCTGTCCCTCCAGAAAGTGAGATACCTGTACATTTTGTGTCTGACATGCCCATTTACGCTGACTAGACATTCAAACTAACTGAGGATGTTTGAAGCCTCCAAACCAGCTGACGCCAGAGATATCTCACTGATCTCCAACCCAAGACTGATCAGAGTAACTTCAATTCATGATAAAGGCTCTGAAACCACTGATAGCTGGAGCACATTTATGTTCAGACTTTGTAATTACCTATGTCAGAATCACATTTATGAAAAGTAGTCTCACATCTTGATGGAAAAACCAAACACAGTTATTTCTGGAACTGTTTATTCCTGAAGCCCATGTATTTGCTGGGGCCTTCATACTGATCAGCCAGCCTTACGAGGCAGTTCAGCAGCTGAAGTCACCTGCATGGAGGCCTTTCATCTTTTGTCATGCTCAGTAATTTCCATCTCACAGACAACACGGCCACTTTAATTATTTTCACATCTGTAGGCTCTAATAAGGCAAGATTGTACCATTAAAATACAGGTTCTAAGGGCTAGCTTGTTACTGATTACTGCCATCCAGAAGTTTCATATTACATCCAACGAAGTCATAGAATCATAGGATAGTTAGGGTTGGAAAGAACCTTAAGATCACCTAGTTCCAACCCCCTGCCATGGGCAGGGATGCAATGCAAGGCTAAAAGATTTGTTAAGTTGTACCATCCCAAGTACTCTAAACTCTGACACTATTCCTTCTCAGGGTTTGAAGAAAACCATCACCAGCATGGACCAAGAGCTTCCACGTTCTGAACTTAGCATCAATAACAGGAATGAACTTCGGAATGTCCTACATCTGCATTCCTTGTACAAACACAACAAGGTAAGGAAACAGATGGTGCTCCCCAAAAATGTGGGATCAGGTACCATGAAACTATGCCAAACATATCAAGACTGTAGTATGTCCAAATGGAAGAGAACTCCAGCTTGCATCTGGTACTGCACTGCTGTGGACACACTGACAGTTCTCTAAGGAATGGAGAGCTTAACATCTAGGTGATACTGCAGCTCATGGGATGAAGCAGAGAACCTGGCAGTTTGTAAACCCTTCTACAAACTGCAACCTCCAATAAACCAGGAGCAGTTACTCACTTTAGTACCTCTGCCATCATTATGGCTAGATTATTCAATTGTGGAAGTACCTGTACACGCCCACTTCTATTTGCAACTTTATTTAAGATCTGGCACATAAAATTATACTTCTAACATTTATTATTCTTTGAAGTGTAATATAGACTATTTGATGACAGGGACATCAACGGATGATTTCCATTTCCAGTTCACTCATGACTTAAGGCACCACGATGCTTTTGGTAAGCAGCATGAGGCTATTCTATAATAGATCACTTAAAAAAAAAAATCTCTCAGTGTGGTTCATAAAATCACAAAATTACTTGGGCTGGAAGGGACCTCAAAGACCAAGACCATCTACTTCCAACTCCCCTGCAATGGTAAGGGACACCTTCCACTAGACCAGGCTGCTCCAATCCCTGTCCAGCCTGACCTTGAACACTGCCAGGGATGGGACAGCCACAGATTCTCTGGGCAAGGGCAACCTCTGCCAGGACTTCACCACCCTCACAGGGAAGAGCTTCTTCCTAAGATCTCATCTACACCCCCTCTCTTTCAGTTGCATCTCTGTAGCAGAAATTGTAGTGGATTTTGTGTGTGTTTTTTTATAAATGAAATTCTCATGGATGCATGACATTTTCCAGAGGACTGTTGAAAAACAGTGTAAAAAGTAGAGTTTTGGCCTATAATTAAAGAGCTATGTCATGCACATGGTAAGAGTTCCATAATCCATGCTTCTCACCAAGTTCTGATAAAATAAATGACAAATACTGAAATCAGGCACTAAAAATCCAGTTCATTCTACATTCTTCTAAAGTTGACCAGGTAACATTAGAAAAGGTTTACCGTAGCACAGTTACCATACTTAGCAATGTTTCACAGAAACAAGGAATAATTGTAACAGGTTTTTTTTTTTCTGTATCACCCTTACTTCATTTAACACAGCAACACCTTTAAGCTCTCGACATTCTCCAGCTGATATCTTCTACTTTCCTGGGTTGTTTGTACAGTTGCATATGGGATACACCCACAGGCAGCTAATCCTAAAAGTAGTTAATATGTTCAGCTACTGTACAGTGTAAAAAGAATATCCTATCTTAGACTAACAAACAGTTTCAATAGTCACCAAGAAGTTTATTTTTCTTTTTGGACAGGCAAAGGAGAATCCACTGAAAACACTTCTTGAAATTATTACTAACTACTTCCTTGAGCACCGCGGGACATCCCGAAGCATCAGTTCAAGTTCTGCTCTGTCAGCTCCTCAAAGTAAGAGTTCAACATCTCCCCAACCCAACTTACCAGATGAAGATCACGTGCATGGGAGTGCCACTACACTCAATGGAAGCAGAACTCAAGCCCACAGGTACAGTCTTCTCTCTCTTTATCCTGTCCAGATGCTATTTTTCTGGTAAATTAAGTAAGGGAAGTAGTATTATAAGTTTTACCATTTATACCTTCAGCTACAGTACCTTCTAATAGTTATTCTAGTAACACAAAGCTTAAATTCTAGATTATTAAAATCCCCTAAGCAAGCCACCCTTTAAAAATGCTTTTATATTCCCTACCCATTACAAAGGCTGATAATTTTAGTTACATGTTTTGGTCACTGAAGGACATAGAAATTTAAGCTTTAATGTTTTGAAAGTTAGAAATATTTGAATTGATGCATATTCTGATGAGAAGTTAACCACCTGCACTCAAAATGCAGATTCATTCATGCCTTATATAGTCAAAAGCAAGGCCTATTATCTTAAATTCAGTATTGTTACCAACAGTACAGGTCCAGTTACTTCCATCTTGCAGAAGACGTGAAAACACATGTAACCAAATATTGACTGCTTTTCTTAGTGTCTCAAGGTGCAGTAACAGCCCTAACTGTGCTGCAATATAAAGCTTTTAAAACAGGCACAAAAGAGTAATTCACCTTCTCAGTCCTCTCAGGGAATTAACTTGATTTTCTCATCTGAAACACAGTATGCGCCAAGTGGCTATGTCAGAGTATCAGTGCTTGCAGAACCCCAGCAACTTTTTTGTTATAAAGGAAGAAAACCACGTCTTTTAAAATTGACGCTACGAACAGAGAAGCAACACTTGAAAAGGAGGCAGTGCAAAAGAATAAGTAGCTGCTTCTCTTTTTCAGATACAGGAGCTTTTAGCATGTTGACAAGTGCTCTCTCCCGTCTCATACTATCCCCCATCACGCTGCTGCAGAGCTTGTACATGCCTCATTTTCTCCCCTTCCCCAGGCACTGCAAATTGTTCCTTCCCCCCACGAGCCTCTCCAGCGCCCGCAGCCTTTTCTTACTACAGCAAAAAACCTTTTTATGAGAGGAATTCACTAATACCCGTGTGAACAGCAGCGCCCACCACAGTCAAACGGGCAACTCACGCCCCCTGTCTACCCCCAACAAAATGGCGTCTCCCTCCCCCCCACCTCAGGTACTTCTAGCCCGTCCGGCGCATGCGCGTTGGCAAATGAGCGGTTCCCTCCCATGCCCGGGGCGGCAAAGGGTGCGTTCGGTGCCTGTCCCGGAGTGGCGGTCATTGGGCTGGACGTGGTGCGTTATGGGACCGCTCTGCTTTGGACTGGAGGCCACTCTTAAGGTTTTAATCCTCCAGTGGTGGGGAAGGTGTGTGCAGGGTGGTTGTTAATTTGTCACCCATCCCTTCTCCCCCCATCACTGCAAGTGTGCCCTCCCTTACTATGCACACATACCTGTACACACATGGAAGGAATTAAAGCTCCACTCGCACAAGCAGCACATGTGGGTGATGGCAGTGGGATGTAGCATGGTGCTTTGAGGAGTACAGGGTGAAGTGGTCCTTCCCCCCCAAAAAAAATCAGATTTAAGGAAAATTGGAAATCAGAAAGTGAAAAGCAGGCACGCACCACCTTTCATGTGTGTGAGCTTACCCAGCCACATTGAGAGCTGCCATCTCCAGGGGAGCCAAAATGCTGTATTGACTTGCAGGTTTCCATCTAAATCCTGTGTGATTTTGTATCTTTTCTTGCCTTCATCAGCACCAGCCTAACTGGTTATGTCTTCCCAAGGTGGGAGAGGACAAAGTCTGCTGGAGGTGCAAGGGAGGAAAAATAGGGTGAATGGGTGTGATGAGGGAATGTGGGTTTTGGGGTCTGTCCTGGTAAAAATAAATGTTTGTAGCTGATTTCTTCTTTTGAAACCAGCGGAGAACCTGACCCTCAGACACAGGTAGGAACTCCTCGACAGGTGGCTCCATTTTTCCCTTAGATCAGGTCTTGTTCCAGCCATTTTGGTGGCAGGGCTATAGGAGAGGGCTGCAAAGCTGCCATAGCAAGAACTGTCATGGGTAGGCAATGGGTTGGCTTGGCCATGTCCGATTTTAGCCCACAAAATGGACCTGTGAGAAACACCAGCTCTCTGATCCTCCCAGCTATTTCCATCTGTTCTGGCCAAGAAAGTCAAGCATTAGCAGGTCAAACAGCCAGTGCCTGAAGTTAGTTTTAATTTCAACTACCTGGATAATTTCTAACAATGCTTTTAGGAGTGGAGAGTATAATCAGACAGTTACTCTTCACTTGGTACTTATTAAAGAGTCTTCTTTCCTCTTAAGTTACCTCTTGAAGTCTTTTTGAATGTCTGTAACAATTAAAACTATTTCTGAGCTGAAGCACTGTCCTTCGGCAGTGAGGGGTTACGTGGTCTTAGGTCAGGAGTAACAGTCCTCAAATGCTCCTCCCAGAGACTTATCATGCTGCCTTCAGTTATGTATACACTGTATCTTCACAACACCAGACATACTACTTCAGAAACCAATTTTTAACTGGTGAAATGAAAGGAATGTTTTTGTAGTACAAGATGCTTCAACTCATGGAATTGCTTTGCTTATGAAATAGGATGAAGAAAAAGATCCTAAAATGAAAAAAAAGTTCAGTGACAGCTATCGTAAACAAGGCTAACATTTGCAGGTTACACAGAATATAAATTTACCACTTGACCCAAAGAGGTCTCAGTGAAGTGGGAGCTACTCAATAAAAGAACTTCCATTTAAGAGTAATCTAATATTATGCAGACAGTGAAATAGATCCTAATGAAGAAAATTGGACTCATCATGATTTCTTACGGGCTCAAATAATGATTTTTTTTTTTTTAAATTCTAAATAAGAACATGATTTGTTAAAATATATTTGTAAGAAAGAAATGTGTATAGTGCTGTAAAAATGAAGTCTCAGATCCGCGGGAAACTCACCTGCATTTCAGAAAAGCTTGTTTATGTGTAGGAAAACAGCTGCAAACGTGTGAAGTACAAGCTGAAGGACCAGGCTAAAGAATATGAAAGAGGTCAGATGACAGCAGCATAGTAACCTATTGCCAAAGAAAAGCACAAGTCGTAGAATTGTAGAATCATAGAATAGTTAGAGTTGGAAAGGACCTTAAAATTACCTAGTTCCAACCCCCCTGCCATGGGCAGGGACACCACATAGAAAACCATGTCACCCAAGACTCCATCCAGCCTGGCCTTGAACACTGCCAGGGATGGATCATTCACAGCTTCCTTGGGCAACCCATTCCACTGCCTCACCACCCTCACAATAAAGAACTTCCTCCTTATATCCAGTCTGAACTGTTTAAGTTTGAACTGGAATACAAAAGTACATTTCTTTTTGAACTAAAGTAATTGTTATATATTCGAACAAAGAGTGAAAGGGGTCAGTAGAGTCAGTCTAAGTTAATGATAAAAAAAGAGATGTTAGAAAAGGTGTTACCAAATTTTGAAACTGCCAAAACAAAGAGAAGGAATGGGAATGGCTGGTGGTAGCTTAGGACCTGTTTGATATGATCTACATAGTTTGCTTTCTATGATAGTATGGTAAATATCGGAAGCATAAGATTAAAGGGCTACGGATATCATAACTGATTGCAACACATAATAATGATATTGAGATAGTGTCCTGAAGGCCTGCATATAGATGTGGAAAGTGATTGTATTTGAGTACTGTTGCTCGATAATATGTAACTTAATTTAACAGCAGTGATTTAATTAGCTGAGAGATATTTTCATTGATTTTATTGTGCATTTTTTTGCTGTTTGAAGTTCTGCCTTTTTCTGCCTTGTAGATGTGATGTTGAGAATTCACTAGATAAAATCTTGCCATCCAGAAAACATCAGCACAAAAGTGAAAAATGCCACACAGGGGCAGTACACAACAGTCACTTACTCTCTGACGGGGATAAGAAGTTAAAAGATAGTCGAGAAGATTTAAAAGCAGCAACAATTTCTGAGGACTTGAAATCCACAGTGAAGGAGAAGCCAAGGCCCAGGTCTAGTCTCATTGTCAGAGGAATGATGGCTGGACCAGTTGCAAGTTCACCAGAGGTGATTTTCAACACTTACAAAGTATTTGGTTTGGCCACAGATTTTATGTCTAACCTTTTGGGATAAAGTAATTTGCAAATAATAATAAAATTACTTTTACATGCTAATCCTTTAAACTGGCAGTCTGAAAATATGTGGTAAGTTAGAGAAGTGTTTCTAGTTAATGCAGAAATTCCAAGTGTTTCAGATAAAATCACTGTGTGCAAGTACCCTCTGTCTGTCTGTGGTCTTAGGTTACAGAATTTCTTTATAAGTCTTTTTGATTCTTGATACCTCTTGATGGATGGGATTCTCCATGTTCTAGAAAAATTGCTTTTTTACCTTAATGGTATCTATGGCTTTCAAAGTTTCCTTAGCTGTGGGCATCTCTTTTACTCTCTTTTTTTTTTTTTCTTCCCAAAATCCCACATTTAATCAGTAGCAGTTTGGAATTGAAAATTACTTTTAGTTAGAAATATGTTTCTTAATTGGTCCAATCAGACCATATTCCATCAGTAAGTGTTTTCAAAACACAGTTTTAATTTCTTGCCTCTTCATGCTGCTTTTATCTAGACAGGAACTTTCCCTGTGTAAAATGAGGATTGTAACAATAAGAACATTTTTGTTCTTATTTTGTTCACAGTTTTGAACAAATAATTTAGATAATACCAAAGAGCATATGGAAGTTAAATGAATTAGTTGGATTTTTATGAATATCTCTGATTTGGAAGTAAAAACTAGATACCTGTAGTGGGCAGTCTTTCCAGTAAAATGCCTTTTTTTTTTTTTTTTTCTGAGTTGGGTACAACCCCCAAATTAAGCTTTTAGATGTTATTTAGTTGATGTTCTTTGGTAAAAGAAAGCAGTTTTTAACAGTATATAGTATTTTTAATAGTACTCAAATTTTAAGTAAAAATGTACATCTGTCTTTTTATAGTTTTTTTAAAAATCTGATGTACTATATAACCTGATTCCTAAAAATAAACAAATTGCTTAACCCCGAAATCAGTGATAGAGCTTTCATTTTTTTTCATGCTAAAATTTTAATATATGTTTTTAATGGCAATTATTTCTAGGATCTGCAAAAAAGGAGGCTTTCAAAACGATCCACTAGCGTAAGCAGCGCAGCACAATTCAAGGCTGAAGAACATGAAGGAAGTGACCCGAGTGTCCCAAGTACTGATTTTCAAGAAAGCAAAGCATCTTCAACACAAGTAAATATGGGGTTCACATCAAAGGCTGTGTCAAGTTTACACACAAGTTCAGCCTTTGAAAAACTAAGAACTGTCCCCAAAGGTACAGATGACTCTTTTGCCAAACTGCTGACTGAAAGAGAGAGGACCAAGACAGAAGAAAGAAAATCACTTCCAAGCTTTGGTACAGACAGCAATGAGAAAAGCCTTAAAGTGAGTGCCCCTCACAGATATTCAGGGGCTGGAAGAGAGAAGAGAGAAAGATCCCTCAAGAAAAATGAGAGTCGATTGTCAGGCCATAGGTAAGAATATTTGTAATAATATTATACTAAAATGTTGAGGAAATTTGATGAAGGGCTAGGATTGACTGAAGTTTACCTTCTGATTTCATTGAGGGGGAGTGGCTGGAAGAGAGGAAGATACTGAAAGGCAGAGAAGTTGATTTAACTTACTGATTTTTGACATCCCAAACCACTCATGACTCCTTTCTTAATTAGTGGAGACACCCTAAAGGTGCTGTTTTCTTTTTTACTGCTTCAAAAGGGTCTAGTTACTAGTTCAGACTTAAACCAGACTGGATAAAATTATTTGGGAACACTGTGTCTGACCAAGGAATCTTTTGTACTAACTTCACTTGGCTGTAGTTGAACATGCTGACACTTCCTAACTTATGGAGCAGTAATTGTGGAGTGAGCAGAAAAGGAGAAGCTGGGATGAAAGGGGACTGCCCAGTGTACCATTTTGTGCAATGTACTGCAGTACTGTGCTTCATTGCTGTAGTAAATGACTTGTCCCTGGAAGTGTTAAAAAAACATGTAGAAAAGGGCCCCAAGTGACATGGTTTAGTGGTGGATTTGGCAGTCCTGGGGGAATGGCTGGACTTGATGATTGGTAATCAGCCTAGTTGATTCTGTGATTCTGTGATTCTATGGTTCTACTTGAAATACCTTCCTTCCGAGAACTGGTTTGGTTTCATCAAGAACAGAAGAGGGAGCTATTTCCTAAGCAGAATCCATCTAATCTGTTTTCAAAGTAAAATGGGGACATTCCTGCCAGACGGTTTGAGTTAAAGCCAGTAAAGCATTTGAATTCATGCTGAGCTCTGAGCTCCTAAAAACTCTCACTGAAATCAGCAGGACTGCTGATACTCCTGAAGTTGAGTGGAAGTAACAGAGAGTGGAAGTGAGCCTCCAAATAAACATTGACCATTACAATATAAGGCCTGGCTCTTGCAATATTTTTGTATCCCTTTGGCCAAATCCCGCAGTGTTTGAGAGCCTTTCAGGATTTGGCCAGAGTGCTTGAGCATTTTGAGGCATTAAAAATTACAATGTAGGCATGATATTTGTCTGGATCCTGTTCCATTCTCTGTTACTACCTGACACCTCTGACATAAGTGCTAATCTAAGTATGTAGATGAGTAGCTGAAAATACATATAGGATTAGCCATAGCTAGTTCATTCCTAGGCGCCTGCAATTCTGGTTTTGTTTCCCACAGAAAACTGAAGATGTACAAATCTTATTTTTCCTTCCATTTGCTGTACTTTTCATTCTCTTATATGCAAAAACAAAAAAACCCAACAAAACTATTGTTGCACGCAAGCAGCAGGCATCCATTGTCTCCACAGGAGAAAAAAAATGAAGTAAAACCACTGCTATGCTTCAAAAGACAGGCTGAATGTTATCGTATAAATGCTTACTAGCTGAGTGTGCAGAAATACCTAGCTCTAAATATGCCCTAGGGAAATACAGATCCACAGTATTTTGACTCGCATGTTTTAATGAAAGAAATGATCATGCTTTCTTTTCATCAACTGTCTAATTCTTAGCCACTGTATGAAGTGTGTGCGGCTGGGAAACTGTCAAGAAGCCAGATTTGTGACTTGATGTTTCAGTCTTACAGTATCAACATGAAATTAGGCCTCTGAATACCTCATTTCACATAGAAGTTTGTCCTCATTAAGAATTGGAGACTCTGTCTTTCTTCAAATAGATATCATTTTGATTTTTTGACAAGATTTCTTGACTTGGATTTCTGGGATGATCCAAATTAAATGCTTACCTGCAAAGAGGGTCTTTTAACCTGGGCAGAGTCTTGAATGGAAGTGAGGAAAGGTTCCCTGCCACTTAAATATCTTGAGGTGAGGTCAGCCCTCCCTTGAGCAGGGTGGTTGGACCAGATGACCCCCGGAGCTCCCTTCCAACCTCAGCCCTTCTGTGATTCTCCTTAATGCCGAATCCCCTATAAGAAGTAAGTATTTTGCACTAGCTGAGCACACAGAATAAAGAATGAGGGTCTATATTGAAATGGAATTAATAATTTTTAGGAACTGTAAAAAAATAAACAGTTGTTGAAGTTGATGCCAGACCTTGGATTAAGATCTTTCTATTGCTTTTCCAGAAAAACCATGGTGAATAGTGAGTTATTTGGGAAGGCTAAATGGTGTTAGAAGGTCAAGATTTCCCCATGTTCTGTAGTTTGAACAAACAAAATTGGGGAAAGGCAAGCAAAACCACTTCACAGCAGTTGAGAAAGAGTTCTTTTGTCTCCGCTACAGAGACATAGTACAGTTGTTGCTTATGCAGCTTTTGAAGTTGAAGTGCTCTCTGGGTTTTCCATGTCCCTTAATTCTATCAATGTGTGCTAGTGATGTGGAAACCCTCCACTTCTCAGCTGAAGAGTTTGTAAGTGAGTAAATCTGGGCTGGCCAGCTGTGTTTCGACTGGGCGGGTCCGCAGTGTAGTGGAACCACCTTACGCTGAATTAGTTGGGCAGATATTATCTGGAGACCTCAGTTTCACTTCTGGTAGTTATGAATAAGATGGAGATCCTGCCATGTTTGAACTTTTAGTTTCCCTCCCCAATTCCAAGAAAAATAGCATAGAAATTAGAATCAGAGCACTGAAAGAATAAAAAAGTATAAAATTGGAATCAAAGATCCAAGGGAACAAGAGAGCTTAGGAATCAGGACCTGAAGTTAAGGATATCTTGCCAATTTCATAGAAATTAAAAGGGGATGGCTACCATGAAGGCAAAAAGAAATGGGAATATTGTTATGTCAGAACAAAAATTTCCTCCTGCCATTAATGAGCAAATGGATACAGCAGTGAATCCCATTGTCTAAAGGCAGAGATCTATAATACAGTTTAAAGAACAAGGAAGATAATTGATTCTCCACTCATCCTTTCATTGTGAACAAGCACCCTACTTATCCGGTTCTTCTAATTGCATCTGACATACCCTCCTTTGCCTTGCCATCAGTCTTGGCTACAAAACCGAATGTGAGCTAGTGGTTTCCTTTCAGAAGCCTGCCAGTACAGATGGATATTTCAGACAGGAGGGACAGTTTTATGACTGTGTAGCTTGGCTTCAGATGCCTTTTCCAACCAGAACCTAAGTATCTCTAGTGCAGTTCATCTCCACCACCAGGAAAGTGACTGCCAGACAGTTCAGAGAATTTCTCTTCCTGCAGTAGTCTCTCAACTGAACTCACCTTCACTGAGCATTCTTTAGTGGTTCCCAAAATATCACGTATTATTTGGTAATAATAATTATAATAATTATTTGGCAATAATAATAATTTTTTTGTAGCAGTTCTCTGTATTCTAACACAAATAGGGTAGGGTTAGTAAATTGCCATAGATACCAAGTTCCTTAGTGGAACATTACTCATATTTCATAGAATCTTAGAAGTTACAGATGGAAAAGACCATTTAAGGTCATTTGTTTCTATGGTAGATTACTCATTACTTTCTCTATATATTTGCTGTAATACTTTTTCCAAGGGTTTGTCTTAGTACAGTCTTAAATGACTCAAGTGACACCTCTCCCCTGAGAATATATTCCAGCATCTAGCAGTCCTTAGCCTGAGGATTTTCTCCCTTATATTTACCTTGCATTTGCATTTTTTCTGCCATATTATCTATATATGATGTTAATTTTTGACTGAACTTTCTGTTCCTTTCCACACATTTGCCTGTGTTCTAATTATTCTAATTCTTCTTATTATTCTAATTCTAATTATTTAATTATTTTTCATGTTCTTTTAGGCATTTTTTGTCTAAAGCTTGTATCGTCTGCTTGTATTTTTATCTTCCCTGCTCTCAAGTTTTGCTGTTGTTTTTCTGTTAGGTTGTATTGATTTGTTAATGTTTCTTCTGTGTATTTATTTAAGAACTCTTCTAACTTTGTCACACTGTGATTCTTATTAATACAGGGTAAAAACAATCACTTTCCACTCACAGCGTGATTCTCAGCTTTATAAAATCAGCTTAGCGCATTTGTCACTGCAGTTTATCACAAGCATATACCTTCTTACTTTCAGTTTCAAGCACATTGAATGCAAAATGTATCCTCAGTATTATAGTGTGTTTTCCTCCAAAATGGTCTTTGTAGTATAATTCTGAAGCCAGTCTAATCTTCTATAGTAAGGCAATATGTGTTGCTACAGAAAAGGTCTCTACCTTCAAATCCCTGCATGTCTGTAAGACTGACAAAGAGTGAATGGCTTTACTTTGCTTTCTGAACTACCTATGGCTTTCTTCATCTTGAATGGAAACCAGTACAAGTGAACCCATTGTATTACTGAAAATTCCTGCCTTTTCCCTTTCATATGTTCCACCAAAAAATCACTGAAAATTCACTTTTATGGAGCTAGGACATCCTTAGAAGAAAACAAAATACTAATCTTCTTCAAAGAAATCCTTTAAAGCCTTTAAAAATATTTGCAGGTGTTTTGTATTCTTTTAGACACCTGAGACTTTGTGCTGTGGTCCTTCGAGGATTAATATTCATGCTTTCTCTTATTAACAGAAATAAACAACCTTATTTTCTGTGTGAGGATCAAACCTATACCTGTCACTTATACATGATTGACTGCCTAAAACTGCCAAGATCCTCTCACACATTTTTATCCTGAATCGTTCCTGGCCCCAAGCTGTGCTCATTTACGTGAACATTAGCAGAGAATGCTGGCCATGAGTTTCTGAGCAAATTCAGAACAGGATTTGAACTTCCCTCCATCAGCACAAGCAACAAAGCAGACCACTTGCAATCCAGGAGGTTTCTGGACAGCACTGATGATAACTTCCTGACACAGGTGATCAAGGAATGTTTTCCTGTGAGGGTGGAAATGCTGGAACAGGTTTCTTAGGGAGTCTGTGGTGTCTCCATACTTGAATACAGTCAAAACATGACATGGCCTTGAGCAACTTACTCCAGCGTAACCTGCTCTGAACAGAGGGTTAGACTAGGTGAGCTCCAGAGGTCCTATCCAACCTCAGCTATTCTGTGATTATGAAC